GATACCGAGTGGAAAAAAGCCCAAAGTGGTCAAGCTAGGACCTGGCACGAGGGTATGAAAACCCTAACCAGGGGACTGGGTCACATAGGTCCTGTTAGGCTCCCTGGCTGGGAACCTCGGGATGATCGTAACCGTTGGTTAGCGACACTGAGTGATATGGCTGGGTATCGCAAACAGTGGCGTTCGTGCATCTCAATTTCTTTACAACCTTAGACCACTGAACTTCTCTATTTTCTGTTCGACTCCACTTTAAACTTTCCTTTCTCCTATTCTTCATCCAAATGGGCAGCCAAAAGACAACGACCAAAACCGACGCACAGTAGTGCATGGTTAATGGTTGTATAAACTGAACGGAACTGATGGATAAGGTGGTCTGCTTTGGTGGGTCGCATAAAATGTTCGTCGCTGACTTTGTGTTCGTTTTACAGCTTTCAGGTCAATTTTCCATTCCCTGATCGTTGTGTCGCACAATATCTTTCACCAAGGACACAGCACAGTAACACAAGGCACGGTATCGATGTGGGACACACTGCGCATCCAACGCACTACAAGTGGCATTCACAATAATGCTGTTCACGAACACAGATTGGACGCTCATAGACAATATGCACAATGTGATGTCTCAGAACGGCAGGACGCAGATATAAAATGGGTCAGAAAACCACGGAACATGTACCTCAAGGGCTGCAGAAGTTGTCCACTTCCACAAGTGCGACCGCGGCATAGAATGTACGCCACAAGCTCTAGTAACCTTCTCCCCGCAAAGGCGGCAATCAACATACTTGTATTTGGAAGCATAGTTTCCCCGTACATTTGTATTTGAAGAAGCACGTTGGATCTGCGACGTCATTTCAACTGCTTATACAATATTTCGATCTCTGGAAACATAACTTGAGAATTGATGCGAAAAAAATGAGAAGATTCACAGAATGGAGAAATCAACTGTCACANAAGTTAGAGGTGGAGTGGGAGGGCGAAAACGGCGCGGAAAATGTTTAAATTGGAGAAGGAATGAAAACACCCGACAATTATTCAGTTTTAGGTGGTAATAACCCTTTTACCCAATACTGATAATCTAATCCTTAGAGCAGATTGTCTCGGCTTCAGATTATGACAATGAATTTACTTGGGAATGTATTGATATTGCCCGCTGTCGATTCCTTTGTTTCTGACTGAACAGGTAATTCTGATGGGATCCGAGGTATTTCCGTCGGCATTAAAGAGATTATTGTACCGTGATTCGCTTAGTACATAGTTTGAACGCTCGTTGCAGCTGAACCATCCGACCGATCGATAAATGAACCCGGTCGGTCATGTGATT